AATTTAAAAAAAGAATGATTTACATTCATTTATTATTATTTTGTTTAATTTGCTGTAGGGCATGTACACAGAGAGAGAAAGAGGGAAAGTGAGAAAGCAAGTTGCCAGGTATGGGACCCAAACTGTGGTCAGCCATGTGGGAGTCCAGTGCCTTAACCAGCGTGCTACCTGCTGGCCCTTTTTTTTTTTTAAGTTTGTTTATATTCTCCATGAGATAGGCAGGCAGGCACACTGAACAGGGTCTTCATACCATGATCCTCCCCTCAGCAGCCAGCTAAGGTCACAGGTGCACCAACAGAGACTCGAGAACCATACTCAGAGCCTTCTCAGATGACCTCCATCTTTGCACACCAGCACCTCTACTACCATTGCCACTGAGGCTGGGCCTCTTCATAGTATATTTTGAAGAATAAAAATTCTCATTTATTTTTTTAATTTGCCAGAGGGCACGTGCACTTGCCAGAGAGAGAAAGAGTAGGAGAGGGAGAAAGCACTTCTGCAACAAAGCATGGTCACGCCTCAATCGCTTTTCCTTCATTTTTCCACCCCAGTAAGATGTTGGACATTTACACACACATGCCCAATGTGTTTTTCAAGCCACTGAGGCTGAGATTCAAACTGCACAGTTGGCCATGGGGGATCTGGTTGTCTTGACCACCACGCTGTGGGGCCAGCCCTATCCCCCAATATTTTTTTTATTTGCTAGAGAGTACGCACTTTCATCAGAGAGAGAGGAATATAGAAAGGAAAAGTGAGACAGCACTTACAAATTGGACTTACGAATGCACAGGAGATGTCCACATTACAATATTCCATTCTCCTCTTGGGATTCAAGCATGCACACACATACACCTGGTGTGTTTTTCAAGCCACTGGGTCTGGGATTCAAACCACACAGTTGGTCACGGGGGATCCAACTGCCTCAACCACCATGCTACTGACTGGCTCCCAAAATTGTTAATGCAGTCTAATTTATCACTATTATTAGTGCTTTTTGTGTTTTGTTTTTTAAAAAATAATTCCTCTTTTTTTTTTTTGAGAGAGGTTTTTGCTATAGAGTGCATGTGCTCGCTAGAAAGACAGAGACAAAATAAACAAGAAATCACCCCCTAGGGGAGATAGCCATGCCGTGATCCCTTCTCTTTTCTATTCTTGGGATCTTGGGGCACGCACGCATACACGCCTGGCGTGAGTTTAAGCCACCAGGTCCAGGACTCAGTCAACTACATGGGAGTCCAGTGACAGCCATTATGCCACCTGCTGGTCCCAAGAATTCCTCTTATACTATATTTTATTTTTGTTTTTGTTTTTTTTTTGAGAGGTTTTTCTTTTCACTATAGGGCGCGTGCGCTCGCCAGACAGACAGAGAGAGACGTAGAGACAGAAAGCGAGAAATCACCCCCCAGGGGGGATGGTCACGCC